TGTGTGTGTGTGTGTGTGTGTGTGTGTGTGTGTGTGTGTGTGTGTGTGTGTGTATATGTGTGTGTGTGTGTGTGTGTGTGTGTATATATGTGTGTGTGTGTGTGTGTGTGTGTGTATATGTGTTTATATATGTATATTTGTATGTATATATTTATCAGTCTGGCGAGTAAACAAAAAAATGTACTAGCCAATGGCGATTCAATTGCCAAGGTGTTCGTAGAGGGCTGACTAATGAATTAACTTTCCCCATAGCATGTCCATATCCAAACTTGCATGTCCATATCCAAACATTTGGTTGACATCCAAATCATTCATCGACCTCAATTATGGCTTATCATCTGAAATATTTAAGTATTAGCAACTTTACATGGTCGCTCAATCTAATGTTAACCTAGAGAAAAGTGTGCTATAGTGTCTGTGCGGATTGTGGAGCTGAACAGTAGCGTTCACTGCAGGACAGATGGAGGCGCCGGTGCGTTTATTTGTGTACACTCACAATAACAACAAAACGCGCTTTTGTAAAATAATGAAAGCAAACAGGATGCGCTTTCTGCCGTCTCTATCTCTGAACTTGAGCGTGAAATTCTGTGTATATCATTGCCTTACAGACATTAAAAAATATATCTATAGAGAGTGAAATGTCTACTTTCAAATGAACCAATTTTAATCCGTATGAAACATGCATACAGGCGCATCACTACTGCGGAGATGACGAGTCAGTGTCGCCAACTTCATCTCTTAAACAGAAAACAAAGAAAGCACTAGTTTATCAAATTATTCAAATGTTAAAGGGTTAGTTCACTCAAAAATGAAAAATAGGCCATAAATTACTCACCCTCAAGGCATCCTAGGTGTATATGACTTTCTTCTTTCAGACGAATCCAGTCGGAGTTATATTAAAAATTGTCTTTGATCTTTCAAGCTGTTTAATGGCACTAAGCGGGTGTTGCAGTGCTTCAGTCCAAAAGAAGTGAAATAGAAAGCGCCCCTCCATTAAAAAAAAAAAGTGTCTCACACGGCTCCGGGGGGTGTACAAAGGCCTCTTGTAGCAAATCGATGCGTTTTTGTAAGAAAAATATCCATATTCAAAACGTAATAATCACTTTATTGTAGCTTGTGCCAACAGTTGTACACGGAAGCAGCTCCGCACGGATGACGTATGAGTTCAGCGTTCCGCATGCACCGGTGAATCTCGTGAAAACCAACGTTTGTTAACAGTTGCAAAGGAAGCAAAGTTTCCTTACTTTAGCAAAGGAAAACCAGTCTCCTCTTGACTTATATCGAAATCCTCCGACATTCTTTTTTACAAATCCTCATTTTGTACGTCTAATTCATGACCGTTGTTTTGTTTTGATCTCTCAGCTGCGCTTCCGCGTACGTCACTTCTGAGCGGCGCATGCGTAACGCTGAAATCATACGTCATCCGCCCGGAACAAGCTACACAAAATCGCGTTCAAAATCGGCAATGAATCGCCTGCATTTTTCGCTTCGATTTTTTGCACAGCCCGACTTGAGGGTGAGTAATTTATGGCCTAATTTTCATTTTTGGGTGAACTAACCCTTTAATGCAGTCTCCTTACTGTTTTTCCCTGAACACATTCATAATCATTACTTCTGCGGTGCACTGTGGCAAGCTTTATGCGTGCGCTTGAGCGCTTATTAGGCTATGTGGGCAATTAAAGGCTCATTATAATGATTTAAATGGTTTATTAATAAACGTGCGATTAGTCGACCAGAAAAATCCTTAGTCGAGGGAAGCCCTAGAATTAACTAATGTTAATTAATAGAGCCTTAATGTAAAGTGTGACCAAACAATAAAGAATGAAAACATTTTCAAACAATATCTAGGGCATTTGTAATCCAGATTAAAATGTAAAAAAAGTTTGAAAATAAATTTTCATTATAACATCATATATTTTCATTATATTCATTCATTGATAAATCACATTATCAAGTGATTCCTGAAATCGCCAGTGCATTTTCGAAGCCATACGAAGTACAAAAACAGTTTCAATTGAAGTATGCCTACTGTTGAACAAATATGACGAAAAAAGCACTGCTGCATTATTATAACATCGGTATTTTAAAAAAGAAACATCTAAAAGCAATATGACCATCTCAAATAACTCAGTCAATATCGGGCATGGCATTTGAGCATGAAACTAAACGCATGTAATATGCAGCGCATTCAGTATGTTAATAAATGTTAATATCCCAACGCATCCTATATTAGATTAATCAGATATGTATGTAGCTAACCCAGACATCACTACGAAGCCATGCCAGACTTTGAAGCCATGCTTCTCTCTCTTCTCACGTCTGTACTTTGGACCGCATGCTGTGGCAAGCTAAACAATCAGAGCTCAGGGTGCCGCCCGTGCTGATATAACCATTTAGCAAAAAATTTTTTTAAATGTTCCATGATCATCGTTTTCATGATTGATCATCACAGTCACGGCCGAATACTCGATCACTGTTGCACATCCCTAAAATAAATGAGGATTGGAAAAAATAAATTCACAGATCTATTGCAAATCAATGTGAAATGTCATTTTTGCACCACTATTGTCAACAAAAGTTATTGCAAAATATAATGACTGTTTTCAAAAAGTTTCCCGAACACTCCCCCGGTCAGTCGAACAAACATGTTTATACAACAGTTCTTTCTGCTTCTCGAATATGATTGGCTGAAAGGAGTGCAATATTCTAGTGATAACATAACTCCGAAATTTCAACCACTCATGAACCCGCCGAGAGCAGCCATTTACATGCATAATACACAATACAGTGAGCTTTTAATACAGTAATACAATAAGCTTTCCATGAAGCAACTCAAAATTCCTTCGTTACTAGTTCTAAAGTGACATTTTCGAATTAGTAACGGAGGCTTGGGCTCAGCTGGTAAACTGTCAACTTTAGATTTAAATCCGTGGCAGAAGGAAGTAGTTCTATATATGCACAGTGTTACTTGCAAAAAAAGTACTTCAAAAGCTAGTCACACCAGTTAACTACAACTAAAATCATGGAAATTGCTAATTAATAAAAGTAAACTGAAATAAAATATTTTATTTCTGCTAGTTTTCACAGTAATATTTCTCATTTTAATTTTAGTTTAACCTGATGTACTAAAATACTGAAATAAAAATAAAAAAACAGACATTAGACGCATAACAAAAAATAATAAAAATTATAAGATAGTTTCAAAAAAGGTAAAATGAAAATATAAAATTCTAACTAATTCAAACTCTTAATAAAAACTACATAAAATCTCAATGATACTAAAGTAACACTGTCACAAAAATGAGAGATGCAGCTTTCAGTTTACTCCCCATTACTGCTTCTTTCTGAAACACTATAAGAAAAGATCAGCGTCTAGCAGAAGAGATTTCAACTTTACTGCCGTCCATCTGTGAGGAGGCTTGACTAGGCCTGCCCTGGATTATTACTTAATTGCCAGATGTCATTTTCCTCACTGCTTACACAACAGTAGCGCAGATAAGGTTTCA